TATATACATATACTAATGAAATAGAACAAAAAAAAACTTTTCTTGTATCAACTCCCTCAAAATTGTGGTTTTCTTCTGGAATCTTAGGCCTCAAATATATGTTTTCTTTTTCTTTGCTCTTATCTGTGTAAAATGCTATAGACGAAATCTTGAGAGGCCTACTTTGTGTCCAATAAATTTGACATCTTGTTGAATCTGATATCTGTATTCTCCAAAGGTGAATTTCCTATAAATAGAGGGCTCTTTGCAGCTTCCAATTAAAGAATCATAAGAAGGGCAAAGGAAATAAGCAATTGAGAATCTCTCCATCTTTCCATTAGCCATCACTTTGTGTTCCACACTTTTATACACATCATTGCTCCAAGCCTGCATTTATTTTGATGTTGTAAATCATCAATGTATTTTGTCTATTAATGCAAAATAGTGTATTTTAGTAAAAGAACAAATTTATTCTTAGCATAGTCAGAGGCATATACGAGATTTGAATATTGTGAGATCGAATACAAGATTTTAATTTATTGGTGTCAAAAGCTATAATTTATAATGTTCAAGCCAAAATTATTGAGTTCAGACGAACTCATAAGATGTAGGCTGGATCTGCCTTGAGCCGATTACTACAACTATTACAACTACAAAAACAACTTAGTTAATGTTTCTTTTCTTTAACCAAAATAAAGGACAAAAAGGAAAGATATAGAATTTGCGTGATTAATACAACAATAACGACCCAGTAAAATCCCACTAATGAGGTCTGGGAGGGTAGTGTGCGCAGACTTTACCCCTACCCCTTTTCCGAATGCATTTTCTTTAAAATAACTAAGATATCCAAACTATATTGTACACATTTCAATTATTTTACTAATTAAATGCAAAAACTTGGTGATGATTTGGAGATTAGCCACCAATCAAAGAGAAAATAAGTGTTTCCTCTTAGGCAAGTATGGACAAAATAGTCGTGTTTTTTTTGTCGATGGGGAAGGAATTGACTTTGTTGGGTACAATTCTTGGACAAATATAACATGCCAAAATTTAATTTTTCTACGTTGTTTTTGATCTGGGCTGATGATAATTTTATTTTTTTATATAATGACAATGAGATATTAGCGACTCTGGCAATTTGGGGAGAATATGGGTGAAAAAGAAAGTGGACTCTTGGTCATTGGTTCTGCAATTTCTTGACCAATTAAAAAGCATTTATAAAGAAATTGGACTTTTGGTTATTTATATAAAAAGGTGATAATGACATTTTCTAATGTCTTTTGTTGTAGTTTTCAGATATAAAAGTTTAATTATTTTAAAAAATTGAATCGATGTTTAAATTCAATCCAAGAATTAGACAATTTGACCCTGATATATTCAATTCTTTCACCTATTTGAATAGAGGAGTAATATCTTGGGAAAATGACACTATATATATAGACGCTGTAAAAATAATAGCCGAAAAAAATATAAAATTTATATATATATATATA